GCCACACTCACAGAAGGACTCTCTGAATTTGCTATCTCTTCAGAGCAACAAGAGGTTTCACTGGTTTTTTGTTTTGGTTTGGTTTTGGGGTTTTTGGGGATTTTTTGGTTGGTTTGGTTTTTTGGGGTTTTTTTTTTTTTTTTTTTTTTTTTCATGTTTGTGAGTACTTTACTTGTGAAATTAACAGGTTTTTTCCACTTTTCTCCAAGGAGACTTTTCTCCCGAATCAATTGGTGGAGGGGCTGCTGGAATTAGCTTTTTTAGAGGAGATCTCTTTGTGAAGTTTTCTCCCAAATCTGTCCCAAACCAGGACAAATATCTTGGTGCCCAACATGAAGCTCGAGAAAGTGGAAAAAACCTGAACTGACTGCATTTTGGTGTCACTTACTTTGTCTTGGAATTAAGCACTCAGTACCCACCATGTTGCTTGAGTTTATGGAGGCCTTGATGTATCTGTGGCCCCTGGGCCTGTTTGAGCTGTTAATACCTTTCTGGTCTCTAGGTTTATTTTCCTGTCCACAGATAGCTCGGGTATTGTCCCTGGTACATAGAGGGGCATGGATTAGGATTGCTATTTTACTGGATGTGGTGATAATGATTTAAAAGGACTTAACAAAGGTGCTGGGGTTTGTTAGAAATATGAGTGGTTTATGGTTTCTCTGTACCCTGTGTCCTAGTTCCAGTAGCATGTTTTGGGGTTTATTAGTAATTGCACCCAGTTTATTAGAGGAGGAGCAGGGGGTGAGGCTTCCCAGCCTTTCCTTTCCTTCTTTTCCCTGAAATCTGTTAACCTCCCTTTTTGAGAATGCTCAGTTTCCCCTGGATGCCAAGGATACCACCCTTCTGGTATTTCATCTGGTAGGCTTCCTCTATATAGTTTGCAGCTTGTCTAGAATGAGCTGAGATGTTCAGAGGGACTGATGAGACCCCTGACCCAGGCATGGACCCCATCATGGAAAATTCTGAGTGGAGTAGAGAATGGGAGAGAATGGGTTGAACCCTGAAGGAATTTTCTGATCCAATGGCCTGTGAACAAATTCAGAACCCAGATAAGATGGGGAAATATCTGGAAGAGAACTGCCATGATGACTCTAAGGAGAAAAGGCTCATTGCAATAAGCTGGGCCCTGGCCTATGCTTATTGCATGCTGCTAGATACTGCAGGGCAGCAGAGAGAGGCAGCAGGGAGATAAATCAGCAGCTACCCCAGCCACTCAGACTGCAGCCAACACCCCAGCTACTCAGGCTGTAGCTAAACCAGACAGTGAGCCTAAGCCAGCAGCTAAACCAGACAGTGAGCCTAAACCAGTGGCTGTTGCTCCTACCATGAGAGGTTTGAAACACAAAACCAAAACCAATCACCCAGTGGATTATCATGATGATGATGATGATGATGATGATGATGATGATGATGATGATGTGGGGGAAGGAACCTCAAGGCCAGCAAGAGGTGCAAGATCAGAAGCCACTACTGAGTCCTTTTCCCTGAAGGACCTTCATGGCCTAAGGAAGGATTACACCCGATGACCTGATGAATCCATAATTAGTTGGTTACTCCATCTCTGGGATGCTGCAGGCGAGGCTACAATTCTGGATGGCACGGAAGCGAGGCATTTGGGATCCCTGTCACATGATCCTGTCATCAACCAAGGAATGATGAGGGGGGCAAACCCTCACAGCCTCTGGGCACGGGTCTTGGAAAGTGTAGCACAAAGATACCTGTGTGCAGATGATCTCTATATGCAGCAAACACAGTGGAAGACCACAGAGCAAGAGATTCAATGCTTGAGGGAAATGGCAGTGTCAGAGATTATCTTCTCAGATGACGTAACAACTAAGAACCCAGACTTGGTACCATGTGTATCTGGGATGTGGTGAAAACTTGTACAACTTGGGCCACAAGGATACACTTCTGCCTTAGCCATAATGAAGAGGGATGAGAGGGATGAGACTGTGCTGGATATGGCAAAGAAGCTCTGAGCATATGCAGATGCTGTGCATGGCCCAACACATGCCAGAATCACAGCGGTGGAAACACGTCTCCAGAAATTAGAGGACAAGAGAGAGGAGAATCATAAGAAACTCAGGGAGGAGATGAAAGAGGACCTTTTCTAAATCTTAGCAGTACAGATCAGAGGTTCTGGTATCTGACACGGAAGTTCCCCAGATGGCGAGAGAAGGTACAGCCCATGAGCTGAGCTGTGGTTCTTCCTGTGTGACTGGGGGAAATGAGGAGATGGGATGGAAAATCTACTGCTGCTCTGGCACAACAGGTATTGCGTGAATTGAAGGAAGGCAAGGCTCAGAGAGGGAGTTCCACCAAGAGGAAAGCAGCTCCAGTTGCCCATGGCTGAAGTGCCAGGTATGATGATGATGATGATGACATGTCCGATCCCCTTCAAGGAGCCTCCAAGACATATGTCCAAGGAAAGGAGGAAAAGCAGGCTTAGAGGGGCCCTGCCTCTGGCCAGGGAGAGGCTAGGATAACCATGTTTTCTGGACTGTGTGGATTCATTGGCCTGGCACATCAGAACCACAAAAATACAAAGTTTTAGTCAACACTGGTGCACAGTGTACGTTAATCCCATCGAGACATGTGGGGGCAGAACCTGTTTCTCTTGCTGGCGCGACAGGGGGATCACAGGATTTCACTTTGGTGGAACTTCCTCTCTTCCTTCCAGAAGCGGTTGCTAATGCAGCTGGTGTGTTTTTATAACTATTTTTAGTTATAAAACTACTTTTATAATTTTTTTAACAAAGACAGTATTTTTATAATTTTTTTTTAACAAAGACAGTACCTCACTGATGCTTCAGAGCTAGCACTGGAACTTCAGCATCCCCAAAACTAGGTTAGCCAAACTTGTTTTGGTAAAAAGAACAATGCTTCATACTCAAGTAAAACACTGTGTGGGCGGAGTGTAGTGAATCCTGTATTTCACAATATTTTAACTCAAAACCCAGCTGCAGTAAAATTTCAGCTTGCAATGCTAAAAAAAAAACCCCAAAACTGTAACCACAATGAAGTGTGACAAGTTTCAAGGCCAAAACAAAACACAGTTCATTGTGCCAGCTATTCAGAGCTGCAGATGATTATCAAACCCCCAAATTTCACACCCTCCCACTTCAACGTGAAAAATGTTGGACACATGGAAACAAAGAGCTTGATGAAGTATAGGAGTTGTGATTTCTAGCTGTGTGTTAATTAGTTTAAATCTTTTATTCTTAAATATCTTAGCTTGCTACCTTGATAGCACCAGAGAACCTCTTAAGGCAGACATTTATATTTACATTATGCACTTAAAAAAGGCTCCTTTGCCAACGGCCTATGCTACCTGACAGCCAAATTCAGATTTTACCTCTCCCTGTCAATTTCATATGGAGTCTGAAGTTAAATTATTTACTCTCCTTGCCTGCAATTGGTCTCAAGGAGGTTAAGATCTGGTTAAACACAATGTCCTGAATAAAAACAAGAGAACACCACAGCTCTCATGGTGTTCCAGATTTGTGTAACACCACCTGAAATCAAAGGACTCCACACAAAATGCTGAAATATGAGTAGGGAATGCCTATTGCAGGGACCTTGCCACCTAATAAGGAGCCAAGTGCAAAAAGAAGGTGGAAACATGCAGAGATGATGACACTCTACTATCAATTCTCACAGTTTAAAGCTGCCAAAGTCCAGGCATTTGACATGGTTCTCAAAGCCTCAGCCCTGAGACAACTTATAAATAATCATGTTTTTCTTTGGAGGAAGGGTTCTGAAAAGTCAACTCTGTACCTTCAGGCTGCCAAAAGGCAACTCAAAAACCATTTTTAGGTTTGGATGTTTACATTAACCACCTGGTGTTGGATTACTTGGCTTTGGCAATATGAAAATCAAGGCTCAGGCAGGGCTAGTGACAAGAGAGATCAGAACCCCAGCTCATGGAATTAAAGTCAATGCTACACAAGATTTGTACAGATTTTCTTCAGCTCTGTGATACATGTAAGCAGCTGGCTCCCCATACTTTACTGAAAGCATCTCCACTTGAGTACTCCCTATTTGCTGGGTGTTTTATTTTGCAAAATAGCCTCATTGAAAAAAAGAAAAAAACACTTTGTATTTTGGACATCAGTACTTTGACTGGCAGAAGAGGAGAGGGAGGAAAGTCACATTCCTTATGTACCACAGGCATTCTGCATTAAGATGCTGCAGTCATCTGCATGAATTTGAAGAAGAGCAGAACAGCAGTGTCAGAAAGGCACTGGATTAAGAAACAGGGGTAGGTTAAAGTTAGTCAAGAACTGCCAAAGGCACTGAAATGGAACACAGACAAGTGAACACTACAAACACAGCAGTGCCTCTAAGCTTAGAGGCCTTGTGCCTCTAAGCTGTGGCTGGAACAGCAATGGCAGGAGAACATTTGAGTGGTACCAGTAGTAGTCAAAAACAGTGACTTCAGCACAGACAGAACAGTCCTGCACCAGGCAGCACCACAGGCAGTGTTTGCAGGGTCCTGGCACTCTCCTTGGAAGTGCCCACCCTGAGAACAGGCAGAGTCAAGGTTACTACAGTGTTCAAGGCAAAGCAACTAACACTGCCACAGGTGAAAGGCACATTCAGAAACACACAGCAAGGAGACCACAGCATTAGGCCACCCAACTGATTCAAGCTGCAAACTGCTCAAAAACGTGAGTCTGACCGGGACAAGTTGATCTTATCTGTCTCACAGCTGAAAGTAAACACCTGAGATAGCAGGATGCAATTTGATTGTGGCAGGGAAAAAATAACTGCTTTAATAAACTGCATCAGGAGCAGGAGTCTGTACCACCAAACACACACAGATCCAGAACCTCCACAACAGCTGCATGGGAAGTGGTATTAGGATCTGAACTCTACCTTTCCACCCACCACATGCAGGACACTTGTAGCATTTTCCTGGGTGGATAAGGGTAACTCCTAACCTTCAATGAAAAAAAATATAGAGAGCAATTTATTAAAAAAAAAAAAACCAACGGCCATTTTGAGAATTAAAACTTTTATTAGTGTATTCACATATTAGGCAAATGCAACACGCATGAAGCTTATTTCTTAGGTCCACAAGTTCTACCAATACATTAGTCTACTGGTAAAACTAGCACAAACTGGTAACTGCTTTGCCAATTTTTGAAAGGTGTCTGGCCCATTTTCTCAAGGCTTGATTTTTGGTATTGCTTCTATGCCCTAGTCATTATGGCATAAAAATATCCATCACTATCATCAATTCAGTCAAGTGATTAAAAGCTGTAACACTGGCCACATTTTTGTTCTCAAAGCTAAGTTATCACTAGCTGTACTTACAAAGTACAGAACTAGTGTAATTGATGAAACAATGGAAAAAAACAGACAAAGGCAATCCTGCTACTGCCACAATAACAAAAGAATGACAGACAGCTAGATCACAAGATTGTTAGTAAGATGTGTATTTTTCAAGTCAGAATAACCCTTCTATACAGTTTCCCAACCCATCCCCAACCCAGACTTATTTGTAGAATATATTTCAGAATATTTTTAATATGGTGCAGCTGTAGTGTCCAAGGGTTCACAATAACATGCACTGTCATGAAGAACCTGGAAGTTCTCCTTCGCTGGTCATACCTCAGCAACCACTATCCTAGAGGTTTTGCAGAAGCAACTACTTTTAATAACAAGGCCCATTATGACATAATGAATGCGTATGATCTGGTGTGTAAGTAAACTATAAAAGCGACTCAGATAAGAAATTTAAATTCTGTTACTGAAATATGTTAAGAAGCTGCATCTATTTAAAACCTAAACAGAGAGACTAGCTTACCCCAGGAAATAATTTTTCAAGGTATACGGCTCCAAAAACTAAACCCTATTATTTTTAGTGACATATGAAAAAATGAAAAAAATACAGATAATAAGGGGTAAGACTTATTCAATGAAGAAAAAATATAGATGTAAGGGGTAAGCCAATAACCTTGTGCACTTAATCCAGTATCCAAAGCCATGGTAAATTCTCAGTCCATGAGAAAAAAATCACTCATTTCAATGATCCAAGGTACAAAAAAGTCCCAAATTACACCACTGCCAGCAATACTGCTGGCAACAGATGCATCAACTCAAATGGGTATCAAAAGGTAGACTGCTAGTGTGATGGACACTCAGAATTTATAATATGAATTCATTTTAGGCCCCATTAAGTATATAAAGTGTCTTAAGATTTCACAGATGAATCTCAAGACATTTCTTTCCCTTCCAATGGAGGGACTTTCTCTTTAAGAACGCAGCAAAAAATTCAGCTTTTCTATAAGGAAAGTCTTTTTATGTTTAGGACAAGTTGAAAACCTGCTTATATTAAAAAATATAAAATAATAAGGGAGCAAAGTCTTGGAATTTCATGAGATACTTGCCCCAGTCAAAAAACCAAAATTACTATTTATGGGAACTAAAATGTAGAACAGCACAATACTGTGATATTTGAGATCATGATACATTATCTGTATATATACTTAGCTATTCATGTTATTGATAACCATTAGGACACTCAATTATATACCCAATAAAAAACACCATTAAAGAGTCTTTAGAACTGTCCCTTCTTTCTGAAGAAGGCTTTTCTATACACTAAATTTTCATCTAGTATCAGAGTATAGGAAACAGAATCCACAAGGTGCTTTAACTGATGAGACCTCAAGTGCTGTTTTTTCTTTTTTCTTTTCTTTTTCTTTTTTTTCTTTTTCTTTTTTTTTTTTTTCCTTTTTAAAAAACCTTTTTAGATAGTAAACAGTTCATGGGGACCACACACAAATACTACGACAGACGAGCTGTTATATTAAGTCTGTTGACTGGACTCGGATTTTAGCCCACTGGTGACAGAGGAGAGTTTTAGGACATGCTGGAGCAGCGAACTGAAGGGGAGCCCATCTGAGTCAATACTTTGTCCAGCCACTGTAGAGGCCCATTCAGGTGAAGCTCAATCCAGCAAGGAGTGCTTGTTACCGTCTGCCGCCTAGAAAACAAAGAATAGGGAAAAGTCACTCCACTGGGTTGGTGGCACCAGGTTTTGGTAGTAGGGGAGGGGCTTCTGCCAGAAGCTGCCACAAGCTTCCCTTCTGTCTGGCAGAGATATCCTTTGGCAGCTCTGAAGATGGACATACTGCTGGTCAAGGCTGGGCCAGTTAGGAATGGTGACGTCTCTGGGATAACAGATTTAAGAAAAAAAAGAGGTTGTTACCCAGTTTTAATTGCCACAGAAGAGCAGGGTGAGAACAAGTGAGAGGAACAACTCTGCAGACACAAAGGGCAGTGGAGAAGGAGGGGCAGGAGCAGCTTCAGGCACCAGAGCTGAGATTCCCCTGCAGCCCATGGAGGGCACCAGGGTTGCAGAGATGCACCTGCAGCCCCTGGAGGAGCCCATGCTGGAGCAGCCTGTCCCTGAAGGACCACACCCCTTGGAAGTGTGATCCACGTTGCAGCAGTTCACGGAGAATTGTTGCCCATGGGATGGACTCACACTGGAGAAGTTCATGTAGAACTGTCTCCTGTGGGAGGGACCCCACACTGGAGCAGGGGAAGGATTCCAACTCCTCTTCCTGAGCAGCAGCAGGAACAACACCTGAAGAACTGACAATGACACACATTCCTACCTCCCTTTGGGGGAGAAGGTAAAGCTGGCAAGGGGTGAAGGTGTGTTAGGTCCTATTTTATTTCTCATTATCTTGCTCTGGCTGTGTAAGCAATAATTCATTCAATAGTTCTGATTCAAGCCTGTTTTTCCCAAATGGTATTTGGTGAGGGTCTCTCTTGGTCTTTATCTCATGACCATTTTGCTCTATTTTCTCCCCCCAGTACAGCTGTGGACAGGAGTGAGAGAGCTACTTTGGTGGCTGCCTGGAATCCAGCCAGAGGGCAGGTTCAGCTGCCACAAAATTCTGCATCATATGATTAGATATGTTTCCATCCATATCTAGTACACAGAGATAAAAATCTGTAACTATTACCATAACTGTTACTAAACCTTTTCCAGAAAAAAAAAAGTCCCAGAACTCCAAAGCATTTCACATATGTAAGACAAATCAATAATTACATGCTTGTCCATAATACATGAAGAATATTTCACACTGGAGAATAATAACACAAGTATTTTCTTCAAGTGCCACACCAAGAGCCTTACTTCTAAAAAGAAATTCAGAAATGAAGGTTGCCCAGCTGATGCAGTGTTCACACTGCAAAGAACTGGGTGCAGCTGTATCTCAACCTTTCAAGGGTCTGCATGCATAACTGGATAACTGGATTTGAATTTTGTAGACAACTACTGAGAAATATGGAATAGAAACCCTTGGCTCTGCATTGCCAGCGTGGCCAATAGCACAATGCTATGGTGCTAAAAGCTCTGGCTTTTTGAGGTAAACTACATGATGAATGTACCAAGGAAATTGGTAGATGTAGTCAGAAATGCTGTATCAAAACACAGTGTGTGGTTGCATTGTGCTAACTGATGGTATCTCAAAGGAACACCAAACTTTATTTCTGATTTCCCGTAATCTTACACACTTCTACATGCGTTTTGTAGTATAACATCCTCACAGAAACAACTGAAGGCGAAATTGGGTTTCCCTTGTCTTCTATACTAACTTGCCTATAATTTTCCACAATAGAAGACCTTATTTAAATACCATATAGCAAATTTCAGTAAAGCTGAAGGACTGACAACCATAAAAGCTTCATTCTCTTTCCCATATACCTTTGTTTCACAGATCTGTTATTCAAACATCTTCCTTCTCATCTCCAAAGTAAAGAAATCAGTATTGGACAAAACAAACTCTGCCTGAGAAATCCTATTTCAGTGTACCCACTCTAGGCATGGGAGTTTTCCCTAACCAGATTGGCAGGACAATGGTTGCTAAGCCAGTTTTTCGTAGTAATTCCAGCTATCCCAAGATTCAAAGGCAGCAGATTAGTCAGACACAAACAGAGCTCCTTCCTTTTTACTGTCAGCACTGCAGCCCTTTGCTTTAAGGAAATCAGTTTATATAAACAGAAGAACTGAAAAGGCAGAAAAATTAGGACAGTGAAGATTGATTTCAAAAGTTTCACATTTTCTAGGAGATGACAGCAGCTGGGTCTGTGCTCTTTCAGCCCTCTATAAAACAGTTATCTTAGCCCCAAATGCCTATGCCAAAATGAAGTGATACAACAGAAAAACAAATCTAAACCACAGGAAATATAGTTCCATTTACTCTTGAATCCTCTCCCAAAGAAGGAAGTTCATTATTCCACCACTGTCAACTCTCCTACAATGTGTTTCACAACACAATTCCTCAAAATTTTACAACTGGTTCAGTTCAACAATCGTCCCTTTGCACACGCTGGTAAAAACTGGTAAAATAGTGAAAGTCACTGAGCAACCATCTTAAAGCTAAAACCTTAGCCTCTTCAACCCAAAGATTTCCAGTTCAAAGATCACTAATTACCTCTGCTGAACTTTCTTTAGAAGATGATCCCAGACCTGGACAGTTCCTGTGCTAACACAAACATTTGACTGGTGATCTGAACTTCTACCATCCCCAATTTGGGCCAACATGTAACAAAGCAAAAAGCTTTGTTAGGTATTGTGTCTACCAAGCCTATAAAACATATCACCTTGCTGTACCAGCACATTTATGCACATATGCTCAAAGTGAAAGTAATGCTTTGCCTTTGCCTAAGCCCGTTCTATGAGAAAGGTTTTTTCACATAATAATGAAGCACAGATGTTTTAACAAGAGTGATGGGGTTTACAGTGTTTCCTGATCCATTTCAACAAGTCAAGCTACATTAATTCAAATTCAAGGTTGTGTCATTGGAGCCACCTCTTCTTGCTCTAATCCCATATTTACAAGCTTTGTGTATCTGTAATTTAATAACATCATCTTAAAGAGATGTGCAAAGAAATTAGTTCATCATGAGTCAGTAACCAGTTTTTGTGCCATTTTGGCAGCGCTACCACTGCAGCTTTTTCAATCCTACGGTCTACAAACAGTTTATAGACCAACCACCAACATTCTCCCCACTCAGAAGTAACTTTAACAAAAGCCTCCCCACCGTTTTAAACCAGCACTTACACTCACTTCAAGATGCCTCTATATAATCTGACTGATTAAGCCTTTCTTCTGCTCAGATTTGAATGTTGTATTTAATTATGCCTAAGTGTATACATACTCCTTCAGAGCCAAATCCAATAGCTCTTTAAACCTGAGCCAGATTTTTTTCTTACTTCTTCCTAACAAAGAGGTACCAATTTATTCCATTACTCAAATTTCTCATTTCATCTCATTAGACTACTACAAAATTGGCTTCATTTAGCTGAGAAACCTCCCCCACATACTGACACTGCTATTTACATGTATGTATTTCAAGAGCAGATAAAGGAATCAACCCAAGTGGAGCCTACACACCATTATTCAACTTCAGAAATTATATGGCTTTTAAAAAAATCATTATGTATTGCATTAGGATATTGAGTTGTCAAACTTCATTCTTTCAGTGGACAATTTCTAGAGAGGTTTAAGAGATTTGTTTAAAACCACAGGTCTAGCTCTCCAAAATAATGAAATCTTTAGAACTGCTCAGTTAGAAGTCAATTCCTTTTCTTCTTGAATTTCCATACTGCATTAAAAACAGGCACTGTCCTCAACTACCACTTTTCATTTGTGCTAATAGAGAACACAATTGGAATCTATTCCAAAGCAGATAGAATGCTATTTCTTTCCACTCAAAGAACTGTTTTTAGAAGTTTTACTACATAAACACAATCATTTCACTCCTGCAATGCTTTTTCCACTGCAAGTTCCAAAATACTTGCCATCCCTTAGATGCATGCTCTCCAGCTGTTCCATTCTGCAAGAGGCACTGCCCGTCTCTCCGTTGGGTACCACCAACCCCATCCTGCAACACAGCCTAAGGAGCTCATGCTACAGGCAGAGCAGGACAGAGACCAGAATGACTGCAAGTCTAACACACAGCAAATAATCTCACAGCACAAACTGTGGAACTTTGAGATGATGGCGTGGATTTCACCACAGCAAGCCAGCAGGGCTGAGCAAGGAACGGAACTTTGACGACATTCCTTGCTCAACAGTTGGCTTCAATGCAACACTAAAATCAGTTTATGGACTTTGTAACTTAGCAGTTCCATAGCTGAGGGGGGAAAAAAAGGAAAATATGGGTTCAATTTGCAGACAGCATATCCACAATAGCAGCAAGAAGTCTGTATGAATGGCTTTCAAGCCAGAGAGAAATGCTATACTAGTGAAAAAATGAAAACCATTAACTCTAAATTTAAGTACAAAGGAGGTTCTTTTCTTACCTGTATTCAGCCCCCCATCCTTTAACAAAGCTCATTCTTATGGTACACATTCTAGTAAGCTGATAAACTGCTTCAAAGCCCTGATTCACAGATTGAGCCAGAAGAGCAGCAAATTCTTGGTTATTAAAGATTTTTAGATTGCATCCTATAAAGAGTCAAAAAGAGTCAGTGAATACACTTGCATTTGCTACACAGAAGCCTGAATCTATGAAGAAATTACAAAAAAGGAAAGCAAACGTCACTCAGTGAACACCTCCACTGGGTATTTTCACCCGAGACCTCTGGTAGGCCACTAACCTGGAGGAATTTTGCACACAGTTGCAGGATGCCAGCCGTATCTTTGATTGCAGTTGGGGCTCTGAACGAAGATCGCGCTATCACTCAGGCACTCGGCAAAAACCTCTCCGCCAATGTAATACAGACGCACTCCCCTGCCTGTAGCAAAATTCAAAAGAACTCCAGTTGTGGTATGACTAGATTAGGGAACAAGGAAGTTTATTTTTAAGAGAAGGCCAAGGTTTTTCTTTACAACACAAACAGAAATCAATTATCTACACGACCTCACTGCTGTGCTGACAGCTGTAGCAGGAGCAGAAAACAATTACATTGCATTTTTCTCCCATGAATGCAAAATTTATGAAGGAAAAGCAGAATAATTTTGGGTCAAAAGTTAAAGAGCCTTTTTTAGCCATATAATGGCTTGTAACCAAATCCAAGTTCAGAAGTAGTGTTCATAAAACAGAATTAAAACTTGTGCTAATATTAAAGCATTGTATGTGAAGCAGCACAGGCCACTATGGTCAAAAGAAAAAACATAAGATCACCACTGCAACACTCTCTGCTTACATACACCCACATTATTTCACAACCCACTGCATAGTCCTGTGCTGCTTTAACAAAAACAATATGACTTCATTTAGCCCTATTACAAAAAAAACCCAACAAACTGTGAAAAAAAAAATCTCGATTTTCCACCTTTCAATTGTTACTTTGTTCTGTCTCTGAGTGGAAAACAAATCTGCATGGTTTATTTCTAGCAGAAAGTAAATAATGTGCAAATGATCTCCCAGAGAGAACTATTTATAATTAACAGATACTTTAGAGGCCATAGTTTCCATTTGCCTTTTTCATTAAAACAATTTTTCAAACAAAATGTGAGCTCCCTCTATCAAAGAATAAGGGCTCATGAGATTTTTGCTTTTTCTCTTCATTGATCATTTTGACCAGTCAGCACAAGCACAGCCTGGGTTTCTGCACATCTAAAATTTTATTAGACAAGCATCTGGATTTGGCATTTGGACTTGGCATAAAAGGAGTCAGTTCTACTGAAGAGGTTGAAATTTTACTGCAAGTAAAAATAACAACAACACCAACAAAAATCTTGTAAATGTTGCTAATGAAAGTATCCAGAAAAAAAAAAAAAGAATGAAGGTAGTTTATTGAAGAACCTGAAATCAAGACACTGCATTGTGGAAAACAGCATTCTTGACTAACCATTACAAAGAAAACCTTAATCATGTCAAAACAATGGGTTCTCAATAGCAGCTTTCCCCATTTCAGAAAAGAATCCAGAATTTCATTCTATCAGTGTCCATTCTGCATTTTATAAACTACAGTAAACTAAGCAACATGGGAATATTTTGTAATTAAAGCTTAAATTTCAATTACAAGCAATTCTGAATATAAATGCTGCCCAGGGCAGAGTGGTCCACTGAGGATGCTGGAAGCCACAAATCTGCCCCCTGGGATGCTTTGGTGCACCATCATTTCCCAGAAGGCAAGAACAGCAATGTGAGCTACTGGAGTGCCACACAGTAGAGTGGCTTCCTCCTGTGCTGCCCTGAGGGTGACAGCTGTGTGACTGCAGCTGCCACCAGCTGTGGGGCTACCGAGTGAGGAAAGGCAGCTCCTTTCAGCTCCAGCCATCACTACATCTCTTCCCAGCTCAAACTGGCTTCAGCAGCAGAAGCTGCCATGCTTCTTCCTAACTTCAGAAGCAGTGACTGTGTCTTTCCACTTCTGTTCTCAGCCAGTGAGACCAAACTATCCTTGACAAGCCCTGAGAGATATGGCTGATGGCTGGCTGCACAAGGGTGAAAGGAACCCAACACACATCCTACCTGGGTCATTCCAGATAATTTAACCAACAAAATGAAATTAAACAGTTAAAAGATCAGAGATCTTTACCTATATGTCGCCTTGTCATTTCCACTGTAGCATTTCTGTTTACATTGGAAAGCAGACCTAGACAAAATCGCTCTGAATTTGATGGATCTGTAAAGCCATCTACAGTCAGGGAAGGCTGAGACGCATGGAAGGTTTCTCCCACTCTTTGATTCAACTCATAATATGCTATTGAACACCAAAACGCAGGCTCCGAGTAAGTAACTGGTTGCAAGTCTAAAAAAAAATTTTAAAAACCAAACTTAACACAGATTTTTGAGGCTGAAAGTAGATCGATCTACCCTGCTATTTGTCTCTCCCAGAAATGACAGCAGTAGTCTCCTCAAACTATTCAAACTATATTTTGCTTGCTGTCCTTTTTACCTACTTCAGTAAATAGAATGGAATTCAATCTTCCACACAAGGGAAGGAGGAGGGGAAGAAGGGATGATCTAATCTGACCACAGCTCATTTAGTTCAGTACTTGCATTTTGCTCGGCAAAATGATTAAGCTAATGGTGCTCTGAGCGCCAGACGTTGAGACATTCCTGTTGCCTTTTCTGTAGCTTGCAAACATTTTGGCAGCATTAAAGAAAAGATTAAACTATCAAACACTGAACAACACAAAGGAAAAAAAATAATATGAAAATCATGTTCTTTTGTATTACACTCTCCCTTTAGATAAAGGTAGTTCTAAGCTACTTTATTGTCCCCTATTAGAGACTCTTCCCTCTATCTTCAGGCTTTTTTCTTCACTGCTTCCCCTTTTTACCTACCCTAATTACTTACTCAGCGTTCTGCATTTTCCTGTCACATCCTGTCACCATTCCTTAAACAAACCCATGGCAATCTGATCTTCCTGCGGCACTTGACACACAGCAATAGCACTGGATCAAAGCAGGTGGGCTACTAATGTGGGAGCAACTACTGTGCTGTGGCTACAGGTGAAACAGTACATGAGAAGAGCAGCAGAACACACACACAAGGGAGACAGCAAGTCTGGGCAGCATCACGGAGAGGCAAACATCCTTTTAAACTATTCATTTTATAAATGCAATTCCTGCACACACAAAGATACCACTCCTTCTCTTTGCTATGAATTCAACAGGTACAGAAATAGAGTAATTGTTAACAAGTGATTAACCCAGCCCCATTATGCTTAACACCAGGAAGCCAACACAACAGTAACCTCTTAATATAGCTCTTAATTTCTTACAGCACATTTTCACTTTTAAAGTAATTACATATATAATGAAGAATCACTACACATGGAGAAATAATTGTGAGTATTTCCAGCTTACCCAGGCTATGATTAACTGGAGAGAGAGTACTAGGAGACAGCTCCGCCGGAGATCCTGTTGAAGCAAGACAGACAGGTTTCAGAGCAAATGTTTTTTGTTATTTCAGACCAGTAGGCATAACCATTATCTACATCAGGTTTTCACTGAAGTTTTTCAGAGTAAGAAAGGTCAGTTTTCTGGAATATCACACAGTTACTCTGAATTAGGATTTCATTCAATCTTCCAGACCTCTGGGTAACCACCCCCCTCCCCCCCCCCCCCCCGACCCCATAAAGATTAACTTAGCATTGTATTTGGCAGAACTCTGCCACTTTGTGCACACTCTCAACGTTATTTATGCACTTCTCCGATGAGAAGGTAGTGATTTCCCAAATTCAGTAAAAAAACAGGTAAGAAAGAGTTGATGAGACAAGCAAGACATTGCCTCTCTGTTCTCAAAGGAAAAGGGTTATCTTGGAAAAGACCTTCCAGTATCTGAAGGGAGCCTTCAAGAAAGTTGGAAAGGGATTGTTTACAAGAGCAGGTAGTGACAGGAAAAGAGGGAAAGTCTTCAAACTGAAAGAGGAGAGATTTAGATTAGATATTGGGAAAAAAAATCTTTATGCTGAGGATGGTGAGGCCCTGGCACAGGTTTCCCAGAGAAGCTGTGACTGCCCCATACCTGGAAGTGTCCAAGGCCAAACTGGACAGGGCTGGGAGCAACCTGGGGTAGTGGAAGGTGTCCCTGGTGGAAAGAGACGGTCTCTAAGGTCCCTTTTATCCCAAACCATTCTATAATTTATGATTCTATGATCACCAGAAAAGAGCAAGCTAGATTTCCTCATTTGAGGAAATAATTCTTTCCCAGAAGGAGGAATTTAAATACTCATAAAAACATGAACTCTCCAACATAATTTGCACACAAGGTGGCAAAATACAGAAAGGCTTTCCCAGAAACATTCCTACAGTTACCACTGATGTCAGGCTGTTTTAATTAAGGTATTTATTGTCACATAGTGGGAAAATATTGCAGTTCTTACAGAAACTGTGCAGCGGATTTCAACTTACTGAAAATGGTTGCTAACATTAGCTAACCAAGCACACTCAAGTCTGCCAACACACAGCAGGAGGTTCTTACCCAGCACATTAACTGTGCTTTGTCCAAGTCTAAGGTTAACCACATTATCTAGAAACCCCTACATAAAAAGGCACAAATGCCGTTACTTTTGCCACAGAACCTTCCACACAAGAACTAATTTGAAACATGGCAGAAGTGGTAAGTTTGTCAGGGTTAGAGACAGGTTCTCAGAACACAGACTGTCTGTACCTTGTTTAGGCCAACAGACACTGTGCTTCAATGAACCTGTTTGCTGGGGAATGGTTGAAACCAATTAGCTATTAAAATCTATTTTAAGGGTTTCTGGTCAAGTCTTAATTAGACTTGTATGCTTCTGTTACAGAACAAATGTAATATACTTAATAAGTCACAGAATGTATTAGAAGCATTTCCCTGGCAAAAAACTGCTTTGTTCATTAAAGACTGAAAGTGGTATTTTAGGCATAAACCACCAGTTTTTACAGAGGAAAACTGCAATCATCTTTTGGGCTGAATTCATGCTCCTATGCAGAGGGATCCCAGCTAGTAATACAAAGCCTTAAAAGTGATGAAAAATAAATTTTACCTGTATCCATGCTTTGGTTCAGCTGCTGGTCACTTGTTTCTCCATCTTCACTGATATATCCTGGAGGAGGTGTTTCTTATAAAAAAAAAAAGAAAAATCCACCAATTTGTAAAATGACTAGGAAAACTTCTGGAAGATCTAAGTCTTGTGCATTTTGTCATGGCATCTTCATGAGCTCTGTTACACCTACCTGAACACTGAATCTGAATGTCATTTTGCTGTCCCTTTTTCCTTACAGTAGGACTTCAAACATGTTACCTGCCTTATTGGTATGTAAAATGTTTCTTCTTTTGTATGTCAGTCAGTTGCTGAAATTTGTTATATAAATATCAGAATCCTTGTTTGTTCCATTTAAGACAAGATGCTGTCACTACAACGAGTAACAATTTTGCAATTGTGATCAACAGCTTTCATATTTAGTAGAATCACAAATGAAAAAAAACATCTGGTGATTTCCACAAAAAAATAACGTGAGCTGTCTTCATGTAGGATAACCATCAGATCAGATACCCTCCCACACCTTACTGAAGTTGTTAGATTTAAAGGTTGTTTTTCAGTTCAGTCCCCAAATACATATTTCTTCCATACACAACAGCTGATTTGACTAATTTATAACTATATTAACTTAAAACACTGCACAAGTTCTGTTACTGTTACCACTAATACTTCTAAGCTCTATTAAAACTATAATCTACTGTTTTAACTAGCTTTCTTTAAAGACAGAATTTTACAGACCAAAGCAAATTCAGTACCAACTTTGAAGCGTTCTGATACCAGAAACTGTGTCTAATTTCTCTGAAATATCTTCAAAACCCAGGAGAGTATGCATGTTCCTTTTCTCCACTCAAGATGTTCTTTGTAATCCAGATAACGAGTTAACCAACTGCCTTTCAGGAAATAAATTTCTTTGAACTGGGCAAATGTCTTTTCCTACATCTTATAGGCAAAACCTGTGTTTCTTTAGTGAAAGTGTTTGAAGCTAACTATCTCTACAATCACCTTAGCATTGTCTCTGAAACTTCCAGAGGTTAAACACCTTTAATTACACTATTACCAAACAGTAGAAATTTAAAGATAAAGCCTTTTTGCTTAAGAAATAAAATAAAGTTATAACAAGCATCATGTCTGAGTTGTACTGCAATATTGTGAGATCAGAAGGAAACCAGTGAGAGGAAACTAGATTAAGTCAGTTGATTAAATTAAAATTAACTGAGAGAATTTTATCTTTGATTCATTCTATGTGCTAAGTATAGACATGACAGAATTCAATTCAAAAGGACAATTAAAGGAAATCATCACTAGTAAGAAATATGATAACAAAAATCATATCCATTTTGAAGATTTTTACAGCATTCATTGTGATAAAGGGGACTCCACCCTTCTCCTAATCATAAACCCACAGCTAAGCCCACAGCTGTGGCAAAAGGTCAATACACATTTCTAATCCAACCCATGACTCCTGTTTCCAGTTGCTAATCTAGGCTCTTTGGCACAGATTGCTTTCCATGTCTCGTCTCTGCCCAAACACAGAAGATTTACTCTACCTAGTACTGTTAGCAGTTTAGGGTCAGAGGTTGAGCACCACACAGCTGGAAATGAACACTTAGGTGAGGCACTGAAAATTTAGAGCTTGAGTGCTGCCGGAAGTGCGGATGATGCAGCTCAGCCCATCCAGAACCTGAACTGGAACATGCAGCTCCCAAAGGCCACCCTGCTCCTTCTCTCTTGCAGATCAAGTACTGAGACAGGTCTGGGGTACAAACCTACCAGATGTGAGCCTGCCCTCGCACTGAAGAAAACGGTTCTCTGAAAAAGGCTATCAAGGCACACAAGGCTTATCAGAACCCAGCCAAGCATTCCAGATTAAGTCAGAAAGGTCAAATAAAGTAAGATACCACAATATGAGCACAGGAGGAGGGTGTCAGAGACAAAGAGAAGGAGGTGTGGTTACCTGCATAAACATTTGAAGATCATGTGAATGCCTACAATCACCTTGAGCAAACTTCCTGCAAATAACTACTTTAGCTCATTTCCATAGTACTGATTTGCAGAAAGTGGCTTTCCAGTAAGATGTTTGCAAACCTTACCAAAAGCCTTCAGTTTGAGTTAAAGTATAAGCAAGTTAAGAAAGCAACACCAACTCCTAGTGCCTTAAATTGCTCTATAAAGGTGGAAACAGATGTGGCCAAAATAAAACAGAAAGGTCAAATTAATTGATTGTTAATCCATTTCAACTCTTGGATATATTTAAAGAAAACACAAGAAACATTCTGCTTAAGACCTGTAAATACAACTTGTACATTGCACATATTTGAGTTTTGGGGCAGTCATCTCATTCTTTCAGAGACTCCAGATGTGAATTTTCAGCTTGTAACATGAATGCATTAAACATTTATGAGCAAACTTCAGCTTCACTTGGTTTTACACTCCATGCGACTTCCTGAAGAGATAGGAAACAGGAAGTTGGGGCAGGAAAAAAAGGTCACTGATTTTGTTTCAATGAGGGTAACAGGGTTTCAGGTGCAGCAGATTAGCATTGTTTGTTTTGGGGTGGAAAAGGGGGAAAAGAGAGGGAGGAAAAGCTCTTTAACAGTTCAGTATTGTTAGGTTGCTCTTTCATACAGAAAGATAAAACAATATGCACACAACAGTAACAAAAAGCTAAAGCAGACCACTACTGACGTGGACTACAGATCAAGACATTTAAGTCACTGCTTTGCAACTTAAAAGTCTTCTCCACATATTACATAGGATGGGATTGAGCATCAGTTTATTACTCAATCTCAAATGCTCAGCATTTGGCAACCCCTTGCATGTTTATGAAAGAGGCTTAAAGCAGAAAGTGAAGATCTACTGTGGACTTATTAGCATTCTGAATCTCAAGTCAGCTATTGTGAAATGACAGCAATAGAGTTTCATGCAGGATCATGTTCTGCAAACAACACTGTTTAGGTATTTCCACTGGAATTAGTACATGAGATCAACTAAATATGATTTAGTGGTGCATATTTCAATTAATTTGATCATTTACAAGGATGAAATGACCATCTTTGTTCCAGTGGCACAGTGTCAGAACATGCTGTCTAGAGTGGGAGTTAAGAAAATACCTGGTATGTAATTGCTCTGTGGCTCAATCCCAGCTGGAAAGTTAGTGTTCTCAGGAATGGAATGGGTATAGTCATCCAGAGGTGGCAGCTCCGTCAGGATCTCAGTGTGCCGTGGCACGAGCACAGGAGGCAAAACTGGAAAGGCAAAATTCAAAAAATCACTGGTAATCAAAACACACAATTTTGTGAGCTAAAACTAAAAAAATAAATCTAAAACATCTAAGAGCTTCTTCAGATGTTTTGAAATCTCCTGAAACTCAGCACTGCTAATACTACACTTGCACAGCTAGTTACTGGAAGAGATATGATTCCTGAGGTGCCTTAAATAAGACCATTTCACATTAGCAAAGGTAAATCAACTTTTCTGTCCCATCCAGTCTGAATTGCACCTGGCCAGCTGGAAATTGCTAGCAGTCCTGGAAGTGTTTATAAACACATTTGTAAAGATTTTTCGGTACCTTTACTATTAAAAACTTTCAGGGATATGATCTCAAAAGGAATCTTTTACTTCTATCAAGAGAGGACCTTTCTCTCATTTTTCATTTAAAACATTACGCTGAATAAACACAAACAGATGCTGACACAGAAAGCCAGAAGCAGTCCTCCTACCTGGTGTCTCCACTCTCTGGTAGTGGTAAGGGTTTACACATACTTCATCCTTTTTAAGATTAAAAGCATATTCACAGTTTTCAATTGCCTTAAGTTCATGGTGGCTGTGCAGGTCTGGCCAGCGCCACAGGCGGCAGTAAATGACATGTGGCAGTCCCTTGCGGTGAGACACCTGCAGGCGGCCATCGAGGGATCTGCAGGGGAAAGATGTGGAGAAGCATTTACAGACTGCGCGCTGCCTCGGTCCCTCCAGCAACAGAGTACACACATGGGCAGCTCATTCTCAGAATTCAGTGCGTTGACTCTGCTACTGACATCTATACCCTAATTGAAAGGCTTCAAATGCAATGAAAGTGATCGTATCAAGCAATGTCAACTCATGTCTGAGCTGCTCAAATTAGTGCCAGTGAATTTAGACTTCATTAAAAGCCACTTACATACAACCCAGTATTTAGAATGATTGCTTCATATACTTTTTTTTTTTAAATGCAGAAAACAGTTGTTAAAAATAAAATCACACACTTAATGGTCCCTTCCACTGCTAAAGGCACCTCAAGGCTTTGCTGTGGCATGGATGCTTTATGGTTTTAAGCATAAGAACTCCCACAGGACTGCAAATAAGCCTATAAGCAGTCAGCTGCCCAAGTGATCCACATGGCAGTATAACTGCAATACAAAACACATGAATGCACATCTTGTAAGGGCTGTACAGTTTATCTTCTTCACTTCATCTGCCTTGCTACCAGCTGAAAATGTTTTGCTAGTTTTAAGACAGACTGCATATGCTTACACAAATGCAGATGTTATGATTGTTATGGGATGGGAGACAAACCTCAATACACAAATCAAGTAATGTGACATGAAAAAATAAAGACCCTGTTTAGAATTTGCCCACCATTAAGTACTGAAGAATTTACAAACAATTCTTTAGTAGCTCGTATCTGAGCCAATTAGCAAGATTTAACTGAAAGCTTGTGGCATACAAAGCAGTTTAAACACTTTGTAAGATTAGGTCTAAAGAATTAAGTTTTCCAATTTTGTTAATATAAATACCAAATCACATTAGAGCTTGCATTTTACAAGTCTTCCCATTCTTTCAATAGCACTGGCGTGAAAAAGGAGTAATAATAGAATTAAGAGTTTCATTGGTCAAAACATCAGCTGTGAACATACTGATTTCTACACTGGCAAGGAAATACTTCAAAATGCTGTACCATGAGAGGCCTAGGAATCATTTTAGTCTATTTTACAGCTAAAGCATCCCATTACAGACCCTCCAAAGCCAATCCCTCCCACAAGATTTTTATGATGCGAGAGAGGGCAGAATATTCACCTGGTTTGTTCAGAGAAGCTGTAAAGGCCTGCTGTATCCCACTGATCTATCGTGTTTGGTGTACTCAGTCCCCAAATTTCAGAGCAAGTGCTGTGCATAAATTGAAAACAAAAACAAAAAATTGATATGAATATGGAACATGGTTATTCAAAACACCATGAGGTCAAACATGGAAAAATGTACAGAATACTTCCTTTCACATAGAAGATAGAGCACTGTTAGACTGGCATTTAAACTGACATCTCATGCTATATTTTCTATATGAAGGAGGCTATCAAAATGGAACAAGTGATTCAAGGTAAATGACAAATGTTTTTAAAGGTGAACAAGTTCTCAGGTTTCAAGTAATTGATACAGTTGCAATGTTCCTTAAAACAGGCAAAACTTCCTCAGCCTAGTTCTTTACAAAATTCAAATTTAAAAGGCAGTTTCTGGGTTGGGTTGGTTTTGGGTTTTTTTGTTTTTGTTTGTTTCTAAACATAAACTGCCCTAAGACTTCAAACAAAGGCCATGTGTATCCAAAACTGAATATCACAATCTAAAGTTCAAGTATCACCACTTGATTCATCAGCATTAATCTCATTTTCCATGCACAGACTAATTTGCTGCTATTCTGAAAAACAAATTCAAACTCTGAAGAAAAACACATTATAGCTGATATTAGCTGTTTTCTGTACTCTCCTTGATTAAACAGCTAAATATTCTTTCACACAGTGTACAAAACCGAATGTTTTACAGTGTAGTACCTTAAGATTCAACTATCACATATCATTAATTGCTAAATCAATCAGGAGAAAAGGAAAGGCAGTTAAGCCTTTACCAAACTGGCTCAAGGAGCAGATCACAATGGAAAAGACAAAGGAACATTCAGTCATAGACACAAACTAAAGCAGAGGCAAATTTAAACAAAGCAAGAAAACAGCATAGGATTGCAAACAGGCAGCAGACTTTCAGAAGCATAAATGAAGCTCAGTTCTATAACATACTTGCTCAGTGACCACTGGAAATAGACACTTTATTTTATATAAGTAACATACTTATATACCTCTCACTTCAGAAATGGAGAGAATTTGTTTCACAAGCAAATATCTCCTTCCTAATTATGCAGCCTGAAGTTGGCTGGTTGCTGTATTACCTTTAAAATTAACAGCCTCTGAAAAGTTGCAACAGGAAGAATCCAAGGTCACCAAACTTCTGATTTTAAATACAAGTGCTGTGACTGAAATTTAAATTACCAAGTTTAGCTGATACACTCAAGTTTGGATTGAGTGCTTAAGAAAACAAAAGTGAGGCTGATGTTTTTATTTCTTCTCATTACACAGGGAAAATTCATTAGTATTACAAAACAAAAGAGCAGACAGCACTTCATTGGACTTGAAACTACTGTCAGGGCTGACAACCACCTCAATTCCACAGTGACTTTTAATAAAACCTAAGTGTTGGCAGCTGGTGAAGGCAATGAATGGGTCTTGTTTCCTTCTTGCCTCTACCACACACCTCATTTCTAATGCCATCCCAGTGAGGCTGAAACGTGCATGCCAGTGAGAAGCCACCCAAATCAATAAACTGGCTATCTGACCAGAGAACAAACATGGCTGAAAATGTATGTTTTTAAGTTACTTTTCAGTCAGATCACTTCTCTTTACTGTAGTTATATGAGCACTACAAAGGAGAGTGTAACTGTCGGTGGCAACAGCCTGCTTTTATCACAAATAAACATGTTAAATAAAATAAGGCCTTTTGATACATTACTGACTACAGGTACAAGTAAAACCCTGTACTAGATGAGTTTGCCTTGTAGAGAGCAGCAGAGAGCCAGAGATGAAGGCCCATTCTTTGGCAGAGATCCAGCTCTTCAGAAAAGCCAACCATCCCAAACAAGCTGCATCCAGATCTCAAGCAGCATCACAGCTCTCCCAAAGGAGTGGGCAAAGAGGGATCCTGCCCATGGCTGCATCAGCAAGGCCTGCAGCCTCTCTTTTCCACATTCCTAAGATGCAGTCAGAACCCTGGGTTGCCAGAAGCTTTGCAAGGATTGAAGTAGTTGCCCTGAAGACACACGGACACCAGGGAGCACCTCTGCACTGTACTGTGTCCTTAAATATGCACCACTACTGCTGCTAAGACAGATCATCTTTACATGCAATTAGGAGAACAATCAGCAGACACAAAGCCTGCTGCATATTAATTGACATAGTGAGCTCTGACAGCTCACTACCTTTGAGCAATGGATCCTTCATACAAAGCAGTGCTCCAAAACTGTGGAGCTGTCACACAGATTACACATTCCCAAAACTGTGGGGTGCACCACTGGTGTAAGCATGACGTTGCCATGCACTTGGTTCGCAAGGCTTTTAATACAGCACATGCAAAAGTAAAATTTCATAGCCCTTGACAAAACAAGATGAACAGGAACAGTATTTTATATTGCTAACCTCTTCTCCCTATTAATATTTAAAGCTGACAGCATATTCCACAACCTACAGAAAGACAAACAGTATCCTGAAGTGGACTGTGTGACAGAGCCACAGCTTGGAATGAAGCTCAAAACACCATGGAGGGAGGACAAGCCAAGAAGCACAGAAAAGTGATCAGTCAGAGCAGCAAAACTGCTCCAAAGTCATTGGTTTACATGATGTGCTATCCTCTGGGATGCACATCTGCTTAGAGTTGGGATTAGCAGTAGTGTTTTAGTTTCATCTACACCAGGACTATACTTAAACTCCAGTAATGCGCAATCAAACACAGAAGAAAGAGCCTGCAGGAAATCATTCCATATGATCAATGAAGTCAGCTCAACAAAGATTTTACTGTTTGCTGGAAGAAACATCTAAAGAAATAAAGAGGTTTCTCTACTTCCTGCTGACATAAAAGATCCATTGCCTACAAGGTGCAAGACCGTCCCCTCACCACATCACCCAGGCAATAAATCAAGACTCTTAAAATTCACACACACGCACACCAGATCAAAACTAAATTCCTCACAACCCTAAAAACCATACTTCAATACACAGTACTTCCATGAAAGGCCACAGTATGTTCATTCATACACAAGCCATTGCCTGACAGAGGGCAGGCATGTCTACTCATCCCTGAAAGGTGGTGCTGGAAAGGTGACTGAATTCTGAAAGATGTTTTAACCACCTGTAAAACCATCTGAAAGTAAGACAGGAGGTACAGATTTTTAGTAGTGCAGAATTACTGCCTCAAAACAAACAGGAATCACTCATTACTAAATCTACCTTTCTGAAGCGTCCAAAATCTTGTGTGATGCAGAGTCCTTTCCATGCATTAGTCCATAAAGTTTTCAGGAGAATCAAGTACTAACATCTGTACTCATAAGTCAAGCCTTGTCTGGAAATATTCCCAGGCCCTGGAACATGATCATGTATGCTAGAAAGCAGCTAGGACATTCCCCAGCACCAGGCTGTGCCAATTATTGTTCTCCCACACAATTCCCAGGTTTGTGAGTCGCACACCATCGGGACCCATTCACAGTGGACAATTCAGATGCAGCTCCCCTGCTTTGCTAGCTGAGGGCTGAAGAGAATGGACAAGGCAGTCCTGAGCCAGTTGGACAGTGCCTGGGAATGCTCCCAGGCACGTTTAATTTATTAGGAAGGAGGCAGCCAAAACATATCACCATTTCACCTTCAGTAAGCACTTAAGCTGAAGCCTGGAAGGACACTTCAGGCTTTGTATTTTACCAAACAAGGGGCTTGGTTTTGAACTCGCTGTACACTGTATCACTGGTAAGCCATCATTGTTTTCAAAATATAATTTGGCTTCTGTGTCGCTGTACCCAAATGTTTCCTGTGCAGACAGTGTTTAAATATACTCCAAAACACAAGTTCAAAGCTAATGTACTTCCTCTCTCCTGGACACTTTCATTCCAAAGAGCATTTTCACTGCTGTTCTTAAAACAATTTGTTGACAGAAACAAGCGAACATTTGGTCAACAATACAAAAGCTAGTTTTTTATCTTTTCAACACTTTTCAACAGTAGCTCCCAACAGCAAATCATCATGTTCTGTGGCCTTTAGTACTCCATGCTTCAACAGAAGATTGTTACTTTTGCAGTTCCCACAAGTAAGTGAATTTATTATAAGGGACTTCAGGGATATAAACACCAATCTGGCTCAGATTCCCAGGTGATGTGAAGGTCTAACAAGAGAAAACTATTTCCCAGAGATAGAAGAAATGCTGAAAAAAATATTTACAAGGAATAAGAAGCACTCTTTCAGATCAAGTACTTTTAGGGAAACCAAATCTAGCAGGTATGTGGTTAAGCTGCTACACACTAAACCTGGGACAACTGGGGTTTGGGACTCTTTAGAGCTGATATGGTAAAGAAAGGATCAGATAAGTTTATACATGGTGGAACCAAAGCTACTTCTGTCAGAAGCTTTCCCTGAATGGAAAGGGTTGTAAGAGCTGGTGTTTTAACCTGACTTTTTATCTGCTTATAAGGAATATAATCTCATATGATACTGTGCAATTCTGGCAAGAAGAATCTTTAATGTGGCTATCAGTGTGCAACAGTTCACAGTATGCCTTCACTTCTTCCATTTCATCATTTCCTTTAACAGGAAAATCTGAGTTCCAAAAAACCTGTACTCTGGGCAAGAAATTACCTACACAGCAATGAGCTGTAGCAAGGCTTTACACACACGAAATGCCAAATCTGACTGTCTTTATTCAGTAAGACAGAAAACTCTGACATACACAAGAAACATGTGGACACAGGACAACCCCAACTATGGAAGATAATCTGCAAGTATTTGTATTGCCTTATCTACAGATGATGTTCCCAGTCATTATTCCACTACCTTAGTGAAATAACAGTTAATTGTAAGTCTACTATAAAAACTGCACTACCAAGTCCTGGTACAAATACAAATAAATTATTGATCTGCCCACAACAAATAAACATAGAAAACAGTTTGTGCTACACTCATGAGTAAGCAATAAAATTATTTTAAGGCAGTATATCTCAACCAGAGGAGTACTGTCCCTATCAAAATCCATACCAATAAAAAAAACCTACATTAATGAAATAGTTTAAAGAAATGCACTGTACTGATCTACAT